TGACTCTAGTGCCCTTCTAATTTTGGGAAGAAAGAGCTAGGGATCTATCTCTTTAAGGAAAGAATAATAATAACCATGAATTTTTGCATGAGGTGGGATGAGCTTGCTGAGGATTTGTGAGAGACATGAGTTGTTTATAGGCATGCCCTGTAAAAGGTGTGGCTTAGATTCTTTTGCCCAGTGGTTGCATAACACAGACCCAATCAACTTCAGTTGTGCCAGGAGTCGTCAATCATTCCCTAAAGAATCTGACTCATGTTTCAACAGCACAACTGGCAATATCCATCTTGAAACATTAACCATTGGGAGGAGGCTGGGGAGGGGGAGGTGATAGGTAGGAGAGTGGCAGTAGGGGAAGATGAGGCTTGGGAGGTGGAGTACACAATGGTGACAGGACCTGAGTGGCCTCAGGACACATAAGGGTGCAGCTACTGGGGGCCAGTGGAGGATTTTAAGAAAGAGTTAGCAGGCCACGGGTCAACTGGGGAGGAAACATTCTCTCCTACCTCATTTTTTTTAAGACAAAGGCTTAATGATCCTACCCTAGGTGGAAAACATAATATTTAATTTCTTAAAAGCATTAAAAAGCTTTGTGCAATGTCCAGGCCATGGGGCTAATACTTGAATTTCCCTTTTTATAATATTTTTACTTTTAGTTGAGGCAAAAACCAGAAAGGTTAGAACAAAAAGTTGCATGGTGATAAACATTTTATTGTTACATGGAGCAAATTTAGTAAGTGACCACCATGCTGGTGCTGAGATTCATTGTACTTTATCCCAGGTTGATTGGTCCTATGATAGCAGACATAGCCTGCCAATACATGGATTTCTATCGTGTGCTTGGTTGGCATAATTTTGGGAACTCAGGGTCACTTGTGTGCCATCAAAGACTAGGAGCAGGAATAATGCCTTATTGCTACACATGATGGAACACCACAGTCTCTGAAGACTTAAAATTATGAGTAACCCAAAAGACAAATGAGAGGTGCATGTTGAGTGTAAATAGGCTGTAGTCTACGGTGACTTGTAGAGAAGAAGCGGCATAAAAAGACATCCTCAGGGACGTGCATGATTGGAAAAAAGAGGCTGACCAGTCATGTGGCAAAAGTGAGAGATAAAAGATGGATAACCTGAGAGTTATCCTGGTATCCAATAGATATTAGAAAGTCTAATTGAAGGTCTCTAGGGCATTTGATAAATGTTTCTAGAGAATTTATAGAAGGACATGGACAACAGTAGCAAAGAATGAGAAGACATGGAGGAGTTGCAATCTGTGCTGATGGATGGAATACATCCATTGAAAATAGATCTACTGAAATATCAAAATCTTAATCGAGAAATCTTGGTTAATTTTACATGAAGAAACAGCATTAAAAGAATTACAGAGTCTTAGAGTTGAATGGGACAGCTAGGTTGTGCAGTAGATAGAATATTGGGCCTAGAGCTAGGAAGACCTGAGTTCAAATCCTGCTTTAGACATGTTCTAACTGGTAACTTTGGACAAGTCACTTAACTCTGCCTCAGTTTCCTCATCTGTAAAATGAACTGGAGAAGGAAATGGCAAACCGCTCTAGTACCTTTGCTAAGAAAACCCCAAATGGGGTCTTGAAGAGTTGGACATGCCTGAAAAAGACAAGAACAACAACAACAAAGATTTGGATGGTCATAGAGATCACCTAGTCTAGCCTCTCTTCCAGTATAGGAATCCCTCCTACAGCATTCCTGACAAATGGCTGCCAAGTATGTGCTCAAATACTTTAAGTGGTGGGGAACTCAGTATTTAAGGAGGAAATCTGTTCCATTTTGGTACATCTCTTAACTGTGAGTAATTATTTTTTTTAGCACTAAGCCAAAATTTATCTACTTGTGACTTTTACCCTGTTGGTTCTAGTTCTGCCCTGTAGAGTAAGACTGCTCCCTCTTCCCCATCACAGCCTTTTAAATGTTTAAAAGATTCTATCATGTGCCTGTAAAGAACAAGGATATCTTTTTTTTTTATCTTTTCTGAACTCTAGAGGTGACTTTTATATTGGGATGAATCCTTTTGATTTTAAGAAGATGAGAAAAATTCTAGTGAGTCTACTTGTCTTTCCTTACTCCTCCCATGGTTGAGGTTGGGGTTGGGGTTGGAGGGGAGGTTAGATATCTAGATATTTATAAAATTAAATTATGAGAAGCAGTACAGTATAGTAGATTGAGTGCTGGACTTGGTAGCAGAAAGACCTGAGTTCAAATTTTGCGTCTGACACTTACTAGCAGTGTGATCATGAGTAAGTAGTCACTTAATCTTTGAACTTTTAGTTTCCTAATCTGTGAAATGGGGATAATGTCTGTAGTCCCTAACTCATAGGGAGTTGTTGTGAGGAGCAGATAAAATCATGCATGTAAAAGCATTTAACAAACTTAGAAATGTCACATAAATGTCAGTTATTATGATTAGTTAGCTAAAGGATTGTGTGTTACTATGAGTGGGGCTATGCAGAAGCTTCTTGGTTGGCTGAGATTCAATCAATCAATGAACATTTAAATGCCTACTATGCGCCAGGCACTATGCAAAATATTGGGGATGCCAAAAGATGTAAAAGACAGTCCCTGCCCTCAAGCAGTCCACAATTCTAATGGAGAAAACAAACAGAAAAATATGTACAAGCACAGGGTAAATATGAAGTAACTAAGAGAAAGTCACTAGAATTATGAGTGGTTGGGAAAGGCTTCCTGTAGAAGATGGGCTTTTAGTTGGGGCTAGGAAGTCAGGGAAGGAAGTAGGTAGAGATGAGGAGGGAGAGCATTCTAGGCATGGGGGACAGTGAGAAAAAATGCCTGGAACAAGTTTGGCATTAGAATGATTAACCAAATATTTTTAGTCCTGAAAAGAAAACACGGTTCTTTCTCCAGGGCCACAAAAGGTTTGGAAGCAGTGTGGCCACTCCCAGGCCATGGCAAATCCACATGTCCAGGCTAGGCTTGGGGGACCATTAAGATAGATGGGGAAATTTAAGGCTGTCCCATCTAAGATGGGGTAGATTTCTTTCTGCACTTCTAATGGCCTTACTCTAATGTATGATTTCTGAATTTATATTCTCTTTTTTCCTTGGGAATAGGCCCTAGAAATTTGTTCTTCTGTTTGGAAAAAGGGAGAAAGGGAAATGGGTACTTTAAAAAGGGTGGCCTCGGAGTCAGGAGAAAAAATGAATTCAGATAGGGTCTCTGACATTTACCAGATAGGTTGTCTCAGTTTTTTCATCTGCAAAATGAGTATAAATACCTGTAGTAGCTACCTCATAGGATTGATGTGAAGCTCCCATATATAATTTACAAATTTTAGAGTGTAAATGTTCCTTATTATGATCATCATTATCCTCCTCCTCATCGTCACTGCCACCACCATCCAGAGACGTAAAAATGGTCAGAGGGAAGGGAGACTAACAAGTCAAGCGTATGAGCATTTAGGAGGTGCCTACTAGGTTCCAGGTGCTATGCTGAGTGTTGGACCAGTAATTAGCCTTTGGATATGGCAGATCTTTAAACACAGGGACCCAGGTTCATCCAAGGACCCAAGGAAAATCCAAGAGCATAATGTCCTTTCATTGGGTTTCAGAGATCAGGGAAGTTTTAACAACATCCATTAAATCATTCAATAAGCACAGATCTACTATTCCCAGACACTGTGCTAGGTGCTAGGGATGCAATGATAAGTGTTGAAACAGTCTGGGCTCTTGAGGAGAGGGCACCGATACTCTACCTAATATTCTACTGTGGAATACAAAAAGGCACAAGGGAAAAGGCCAATAATAATAATAAATATGATATATAATTTATAATATATAATAATGATAATAGCTAGTATTTCTCTAGCATCTTAAAGTTTGCAAAGCAAACACATATGTATGTACACATATATGTATATATGCAAAAGTTTACATATGTTAACTTATTTGGTCCTCACAGAAAACCCTGTGAGTGTAGGTGCTATGTTTATCACTGTTTTGTAGATGAAGAAACTGAAACCCAAAGAGGTTAGCGTCTTCTCCAGGCTCACACAGCTATTAAATATCTGAAGCAGCAGTTATGCATAGGAAGAGTAGCTGCTGTCCTGGGATGCTGATGAGGTCAGTAGGGCTGAATCCTGGCATCCTCTACGTCTCCTTCCCTCCTCTGCCTTCACGTTTTCTCTTTTCTAGTCCACTCTCATTTTCTTCAATTACAACATGGCTTCTAGACCCTTCACCTTCCTAGTGATGCCCTGTCTTGAACACATGTGCCAGTTTGCCAACGTCTTTCTAAAATGTGGTGCCAAGAGCCGAATATAATATTTCACATGTGGCCCCTAAATTTAATTTTTTTATTTCCTAAGACAACAACCTTTCTTCATGGACTCGTTTCTTTAGTTTCAAGCTTCTTACCATAAAGTAGGGGTTCTTAACCTTCTCACTGTCATGGTTGTGTTTGACAGTCAGGTGAAGACGATGGACCCCTTCTGAGAATAATGTTCTTAAATGTATAAAATAAAATACATAGGATTATAGAGAGAACCAATTATGTTGAAATACAGTTGTATATGAATATATGTAGGTGTACATATACATGCATATATACACATGTATATAGAGATGTATATATATACTCTGCATATACAGATATGTATATATACACATATGCACACATAGATGTGTATATACATATATATGCATACACACAATGTGTATACACAGCTATGCACACATATATGCATATATATGTACAGGTATACATGCACACATATATGCATGTACACATAGAACAAGTTCACATACCCCAGGTTAAGAACCAGTCAAGAAGAACATTCTAAGCAATAGCTGTAGAGAAAATTCACTCACCTGTGAATTGTTGGAAACCACCAGTACAACAGCCCATGGAATGTTATTGAAAGTTCTTCAAAAGGGAGTTAAAAAAAAAAAAAAAGGACATGCACAAGCCCAGGTTCTGTGTACCGCCAAAAAGTCATGGGGAGTGCTACTCACATAGGAGCCATAATCCACTGCCAGTGTCTGCAGAGCCCACGGGAGGCCCAGGCCAATCAGAATGTCAAACACATTGCTTCCGATGGAGTTGGATACAGCCATGTCACCCATCCCTGGAAGAACAAGAGATAACACGTCCTCAGGGATGGGGAAGGGATTCCAGCAGGCCCTTGGGGCTTCAAAACAATAGACCATTCATGGAGTTTCTTTCTAGTTGTGTTTTGATTTTTTTGTTGTTTTTTTTTTTTTTTTCAAGCCAGACTGTCATTTCACATGGAGCCAGTAACACCGACGGCAAGAAAATGAATGAAATTTCACTTTCTTTCCTTCACCTTTCCTAAGTAAACAAGTGACAGGTTCTGATGCTATTCTATTTGCATTGTGCTCAAATTTAATTTAATTCCAGGCTCTTTATGATCTATGTGATATAGGTTCTCTTGTGCTCCACAAATATTTTATAGATTTATTTCTATTACCTTAGAGATGCTTCTTCCCCTCTCCCTCTCCAGGGCCCAATTTATTCAAAGACAACTTTTATACACCCCAAGATATATAAACAAAAAACTCCCCACATCTAAACCTCACTGGTATTACCAGTATTTTCATTTGCTAAAAGTTGGTAGATATACCAGAAGGTTATGAAGTGATCTTAGAAAACAAATGGGAAGGGGAGAGGAATCTAAGAATTAAAAAAAAATGCTTCTTAAGGGGACCCAAACTCATCCATATTAGCTGCCTACCTGTTCTTCTTTGAAACTAACTGTTCTTATTGCTTTTCAAATCCTCACACATTTCTTGTTTTAGATAGAGGACATTAGGTAGCAGAGTGGCTAGAATGCTGGACACGGAATCAGGAAGACCTCATTCTGAATCCTGTCTCAGACATTTACTAGTTGAGTGATTGTATGGAAGTTACTTGTTTTTTCTGTGCCTCAGTTTGCTTATCTGGAAAACTGGCATAATAACATTTTCTTCCTCATAGGATTGTTGTCAGGATCAAATGACTGTGTGTTACAGGGCTGTCAGTTCTTAACATTAATTGATGGGTATTTCCATTGATTAACATTTATATACAATGGTATACTTTATTTTAGGGAACAGACACTTTTCTAAAAAGTTGCACGTAAATGGAATTTCTCCAACTGTTATATTTTAAGTGCATTAAAATAGTTTGTTACATAAATGTACTGTAAATCCTCCCATAAAGTTAAAGAATCGTTCCTTAATTTATCTTTCAGCGCATCAAGATGAAGAAATGATGGTGAGTGAACAACTTGCCGAGTTCAGTCAGCTCGGAGAGAGTGACTGGTAATCTGTGGTTTGTAGCACTTCCTAAAAATCGATATGTAGCAACAAGTCTCCTCTGAAGGCAAAGTGTCCCAAAGTTAGAAAGCATCTCTGGGGATTCTACCTAGATAGGTACTCTTTATTCTCTAAGAGTAAAATCCTACAACTAGTTCATAACTTGTCTTTTTTTGAAAAACATCTTCCTTATTGACATTGGATTTATTTGACCCATGTTCTCATTCAAAGACAGTTTGCTTAGAACTCACAACCCTTTATTACAACTGGAGTCTTGTGAGATTTCCCTCCTCTTCCCTTCTTTCTTCTCCCCTCTTCCTCCTCCCCTTTTCCTCCTCCTCCCTTCCCTCTCCTTCCTTCCTGTTTCCCTTTCTTCCCTCCCTCCTTCCTTCCTAACCTACCTTGTCTTGCCACGATGAGGCTGGCCATGCAATCAGGCACACTTGTCCCAGCTGCCAGAAATGTGATCCCCATAATCACATCAGGAATACCTAAAGTGTAGCCAATAATTGTAACCTGCGAGGAGGGAAAATGTATTGTTAGAAGGTGTTCAGGAGAGCCTGGGACAACAAAGAACAGGATGCCTTTAGCTTGTGTCTGGGTAGTCTCTCTGGAAGATTGAGCTCATAGTACTATTCAGTTCAATGATGATACATAAGGGATAGAAGCAAGATGTTAAATTTTCCAAGGATGTGGGATCATGGAAAAAATCACAGTGCATACGACCTGTGTGCCATTGCCAGAAGGGCTCCAAAGAATGTACGACAGGAACTGACAAGTGGTGAAAGGGGGCTGCTTTCTCTCACATCCCACCCCAGTCTACCCTATCTTCAAATCAGCCTCTCTGTCTCTCCCTCTCTCTCTCTCTCCCTCCCTCCCTCTCTCTGTCTGTCTCTGTCTCTCATTATTTATTTATTTAGTCTTGAAGCCTAGTACTGTGTACACAGGCAAGTTTGCTCCTTGCCATTTTAAAGATGGAAACACATGGAATAGAAAACTATTGGAGAGCAGAAGGGACTTCATTGACTACTTTATCTGACCATACCTAAAAAGAATTGACCCTAGTAAGCCACTTCTTGATTACCAGAGACAATTTACATAAAAGAGATTTCAACTATGAAGAGTGTTAACAGGTGGCATCTGGGACATTTCAAAACATTGCCAAAAATTAAGTGGCAAATAGTCTTATCCTCAATGAACAGACAGGGGAACTGAGGCAGAGAATAGTCAGGTGAGACAACATCACAGCATGTGCCAGTGTAAAAGCCACATGAGATCATAACACCAAAGCTTTGAAGAGGGAAGGAACTTTAGAGAACATTCAGGAGTCTGGTCCCTTTGTTTTAGGTGGTTCAGTGAGTCTGACATCAGGGAGACCCGAGTTCAAATCTGACCTCAGACACAAACTATGTGACTCTAGACAATTCACTTAACTTCTCTTTGCCTCAGTTTCCTCATCTGTAAAATGGGGATAATAATAGCACCCACCTCCCAGACTTGTTGTAAAGGTCAAATGAGATGATAGTTGATAAGTGCTTAACACAATTCCTGCCACATAGTAAGCAATGTAAAAATGTTGTTAGTGTGTCACACACACACACACATATATATATAATATATATATATAATTTACCTATTCATTTATTTGCTAATTATTACAGATAAGTAATAAGAGAGTGAGGCCCCGAGAGGTTAAATGAATTGTCCAGGGTCACATGGCTAGTAAGTGTCTGAAGCAAGATTTGAATCCAGCTTTTCCTGATTCCAACTCCAATGCCTTATCCCCCAAATAAGAATACAAGCAAATTTATTGTGGCTGCATGTTCTAGTTTGGGAGACATGGACTTGAACAGCTGAAACTGACTAGGTCATTTTAGGATAGCACTTGATTTTCCCCACCCTCTATGAAATTACAAGAAATGCAAACCACATGTTGTAAGTAGCGCAATTCCGTGTGGTTCCCGGTGCATCAGAGTCTGAAAGCCTAGAGAGGAATATATATGTACAAAAGCCTGACTACTCTCTGAAAGCAGTTTGAGAGAATTGTTATTTTCCTGTTGAGAGAACTGGGAGAGTTTACTTAAAGTCCTTTGGGATACCTTGGCTGTCATCCTTTTAAAACCAAAGAACATGTGCAACTTTCCTATTTAATGCTGAATGGCACTTGGTGTGGACTTGAGGCTCTCTGAATGCTTGCATTCTCCAAGGAGTAATGTCGTTCTATTTAGAAATACATTCGATTCATATTTAGTGGCTCTGAAAAGCCTTTTGTGAAATGGAGTTTGGTTTTGTTGGCCTAACTACAAATGCCCTGGCTAAAATTGACCCTCTGGGCCAAACCTTGCTTTTTTCCTTCTAACCCTCAGCTTATTCCCTGTAGTTGTCTGGTTTGGCTCAATTACTCTTGGACTGAAAAGGAAATGCTATTCAAGTTGCATCCTCACTATTCTTACTGATCCAGGAAAGTCTCCATTATGCAGCAGCTAATTATCCAGGTGGCCTGAACTAGCTCCCTTTTTTTCAAGGCTCATTAGTACCTCAGCTGGAGGAAGAGGGAAAGGGAATGTTTAAGATAGGACATCAAAGGGCTCAGTTTGATTACCTTATTTGCCCTTTGCCTCTATATTAAGAGGGGACAGGAGGCAAACTGTTGGATACCCTTATTATCTCCATTATAAACAGATAAGTCATTTTTGAGCATCAGTGTTAAAATGATAATATCACATCCACCATTATCTAACAAATTATCTACACCCAGAATTTAATTCTCTATATGCATCCTGATATACTAAACAACAGACACAAGCTAGGTTAATTGAGTCTTGTGAATTTAATAATTCAATTCAGCAAACATTTATTAAGCACCCACTGTATGCAGAGCATTGTGCTAGATGCTATGGGACACAGAGATAACCCATGGGACCTGTGTTCATGGCATTTGTAATATTTTGCACACATGTTAACTTTTTCCTATGTCCAATTCTGTAGCATTAGATTAGGTCCTTTTCCATAGAAACATTGACTTTTAGGGACAGAAAGGATAATAGGGTCTTTTACAAACAATGTGGTACAGTGGAAAGAATACTGAAGAGTCAGATGATTTGAGCAAATCATTAACTTTTCCAGATCCCAGTTTTCTCATTTATAAAATGAGAGAGTTGAACTAGGTGAACTCTGAAATTCCTTCTTTCTGGCTCTAAATTGATGATCCCTTCATTTTATAAATGAGGGACCCAGAGAGATGAAACAGCTTGCTTTACCCACTGTCACACAGAGAACCAAGGGAAGAGGAAAGATCAGATCTCAAATCCTCCAAGGAAAGCCCAATTTTCTGAATTGCTTTGGGTTTTAGATCTCTCTTAGTTATAGCTGCAGCCACTAATCTTGTCCACCTCAAAGAAGGAGTGACACTGTTGTCTGAAAAACTTCAGGGCTAGTGAGGGCCTGAGGACTAAGCATTTGGTGCAACACTCACCATCCAAACCATCATGTAAGAGAAGGCTGCAATCCATAGGGTGGATGAGGCGAATGTCACCATGAACCACTTCTCCCATCGGGGTTTGTTGCAGTTGGGGACAGTGAAGTATAAGACCAAACTCAGTGGCCAGGTGAACAACCACTTCACTATTTCCAATTTACCAGCTGGATAGAAAAAGGTGGGGGTGGGGAGTGGGAAGGAAGGAAGAAGAAAATATCAGATGACTTAATTTCCCATCTTCTCTGTCTCTACTTAAATTCTGCTTGGGTGGCTACATAACTAATAGGATAACTGGGTGTCTGAGATACCTCAAACTTAGCATGTCTAAAACAGAACTCATATTGTCCTGAAACTTAGCCTTCTTATAAACTTCCTTGTTTGTGTGTAGGGCACCACTGGTTTTCCAGTTACTCAAGGTCATGTTCTTAGAGATTTCCTTGACTCTCTCTGTCCCCATGTCCAATTAGATGCCAAATCTTGTTAATTCTACCTCTAATTTCCCTAATTTATTATCTTCTCTCCCCTCACATAGTCACCACACTAATTCAAGCCCTTCATCAACTCTTCCCTAGACAAAAATAAGTTTTTATTGATTTTTTTCACATCACCATAGTTTCTCCAAGTATTCCTCCCCCTCCATGCAGCAAAAAGCCATCTCATATGACAAATGGTATTTTTTAAGACAACAAAAGAAAAAGGGAAAAAATCAGCATAACTGATAACATAGAAAAAAAAGAGAATATATGCCACATACAATGCTCACGGATCTCCTACCTCTGCAAAGCAGTCAAATGGAGGTGTCTTTTTGTATTTCTTTTTTCAAGCCATGCTTGTTTTTCGTAATTCTGAAATATTCACTTTCAATTCTCTTTGTGTTTCTCTTAACATTGTTCTAGTCATTGTCTCACCTGCACCCTTAGGAGAGCCTCTTAATTGAGCTCCCTACTCCTGGCTTATTTATTCCCTCTCCAATTCCCCATCTTCATAGCTGACAAACTGATATTTGCAATATACAGATCTAACCATGATGCCTTTCAAAAACTTGCAGTGGTTCTTTATTGCCCCTTGGATATGATATAAAATTCTCAGTCTAGCATTTAAAGCATTCCATAACATGGCTCTTACTTACCTTTCCCGTCTTATTTCATATTGTTCCTCTTTACAGGTTCACCATTTCAAACCACGTTGGCTACTTCTCCTATATGATATTCTATCTACCATCTCTCTGCCTTACATTTGGAATGCCGTCTCCCCTGACCTCTGCTGCTCAGTACACCTCTCTTCCTTCAAAGCTCAGCCCAAGGGCTACATCCTATAGGAGGTTCCCTGATCCCTCAGGTGTTAATGTTTTCTATTTCTTGATATCACTTTTGTATCACTTCAAGTGTACTTTGAAATTACTTATGAAATTCTTTGAATGTTGGGATTGTTTTCATTTTTGTCTTTGCACTCCCAGCACTCACATCAGTGAATTGTATGTACTTAATAGGTGTTTAATATATGTGTGTTGAACTGAATTACTGTGTACTAATGTCTTCCCTGAGTGTCCTAGAGAGCTGATCTCAGAGTCAGGAAGTCCTGGGTTCAGGAGGTGCCTTTGATACTGACTGTGTAGTCCTGGGCAAGTCACTTAACCATTTAGTGTCCCAAGTGATTCTCTAAGACTATATAAATTGCCAAGAAGGTTCCAGCCTACATTTGTAGAGGAAGTCCTTCATGAGGAGCTCCCTTCATCAAGGAAATCTTTAGCCCCAAGTGCTCCCCATGGGCCAATTGCTCTGTTGGGTTGCCAATAGAGAGAAAAGAGGAAAAAAGAAAGTGATATTCTTGTTATCTTCTTGTCACTTTGCAAATGAAAAGAGGCAGTAAAAGTCAAGTCAGAACTTTTGGCTGGAAGAGGAAGGGGTAAAGGGCTAATTAAGAAGGTCACTTGCCTTTTTTTCAGGGTACAATAGGTTAATGGCTATTTTCATAGTTTACTTTATAGATGTTACCGTTAATACAATTAATTTTAAAACTATTTATTAGGTGATTACTATGAGTGAGGTACTGGCGAAACAAAGATGAAAAATCCCTGCTTTTAAGGAGTTTACTTTCTAAACACAAAACATAATATAATCTTTGTGAAAATAAGGAGAGGAAAGAGAAAATATATTGTATTTAAATGGAGAAACTGAGACCCAGAGAGATGATAGAACTTAGGATTCATTACTGGGGCCAGGAGTAGAATGCAGAAAAACAAACAAAAAATAAATCCTCTAGGCCATGTCTACTATACTTTGCTGGGTCAATAGAAAGCCCTCAATAAATGCTTCAAGATTAAGTCAAGATCAACTATCTTTCTCAGGATGTTACTACTCCTTAGTCAGTAGGCTAGTGTGAGCTCCATCAGCTCTCGCTTCTGTTCCTCTTTTGGGACAGGAAGTAGTCAAGTTACTTGCACAACTGCTGAGGCCAGAGGTACAGTTAAAAGGCATTTGTTTAAACAATTAGGTGGAGAATTTTAATATCAACCAAATACCTGGCATTGGTGCACAATTGGAAAGGAAAATATACACATCTCATTTTTTTTTTAAAGAGGCCAAAGCTCTAAGTAAATAGCTTATGTCTTTGACACTGTTAACTTAAGAAATGTTGAACTCTGAATATGCAGTCTATTGTTGGAAAGAGTGAATGGCTTTCAGTGAACATAGCGGCACCTTGTGGAATTGTTACACATTACATGTGTCTAATGGGGATCATTGAAGAGGGAGTCCCTCCTCTGCTTGCTGATTTCAGCATTTGGCTGAAGGAAAGATCATATGAAAGATGTTTCTCCTGATAATGATAATGTAGGTTCGCAAATTAACTTTGCCTCCGTTATCTTGGAGCAAATAGGATTTGTGATGAGAGAACAAGTAGGTAATTTTCAAGTATGGCGCAACTGTGACAGTCTAATCTTGGCCCCTGGGCTATTTGAGGGCATTAGTTGGGAGAAAAGTAAGAAGAAGCATTGGGAGCCTGGAGAGGGACACATAAAAGGAAATTAGGGGATATGGAGGACAGGTTTTGCCTCCTCCCCAGTTTTGCCTCGGTCTATCTTGCCCTTTCTTCTTCCTTCCTCCCAGAGACCATGGGAAGAGAGGTAGCCTCCTTGTGGAGACAGAAGGCGCTACAGCATTGAAGAGGCAGGGCATGGAAAGATAGTGGATAAAGTCTGATAAATGGTCACAACTATTTATAGAAAGGAAGAGGCTGAAAGCTGGACTCCTACCTAAGACATCATAGATAACAATTGAGTAGGTATTGTTTGCCTTAGGTAGCCAAGAATTAGCTGGGGGGGACCCCACCCTTGTGAGTTTGCAAATGAACTCTTACTGTAGAAAAGGTAATAATATTGTCAACAATTTCAGGACTTCCTATTTTAATATATGTGGAGTTAACGGCAGTCAAGCATGTGCTAGTCTTGGTGAATACATTTCCCAGAATTTCCTCACAGCTGCCAATCTGACAGACATATTTTGTCTACACTTTGCCGTGATGGATGAGCCATGCATCCATTTATTCAATCTTCGAGACATACCACTGTGCATGCATCGTCCCTCTACCCTCTTTGCTACTCTAGTTCTGAAAGCAGTAATTAAATCAACACTACCAAAATATTCCTCCCTGGCTACTGCTCCCCTATCTGTGTTATCTTCCCCTGTTAGAATGTGAGCACACTGCAGGTCCTTAATTCATACTGGCTGATGGATTGATTGTGAGGATCAAATGACTTAATGTATACAAAGCACTCTCTCAACCTTAAGCACAATATAAATGTCAGCTATCCCGGCTCTTTTGGAATCTGCTTGAATGTAGTAATATCTCTGATGTTTATGCTATTTAATCTTGGCTGTAAGAGCTTTGCAGCACCATGAAATGGTTGGTGACAAAATGTTTCCTATTTCTTGATGAAGTCTTTGTTTTATTTTGTACTTGTAAGTGGACATGCATGCGGATTTGAATTGGGGAAGGGGAAGTTGCTTTTACTCTGTATTACTCAGTTTAAAAAAAAAGATGAGAAAACTACATTGTCTAATTTTGACCCCCTATTTTTTGCAAGAGATAGTTTAGCTAAAGAATTGTTCTTAAAAAACCAGTTTAATATTTTTCAAATCTTCTAAATTTTAGAAGGAAAATGGGATGGTAGTTCCTAGTGGGCAAAAAAGCAAACCAGTAAAAAAATAAATCTCTTTTCTCCTCAATCCTCTTATGAAATTTTTTTTCAGGACCTTTGTATGTATTCTATTTTTTTCTGTCTCATGGAGTAAGAAAGCACTTAGCTCACAAAGAAGTTGGAGATGCAGAGGCCTCGTCTTAGGGCAAATTGTGTTCATTGTGGTGACCTAAGTTTTGACTACTTTGGGCCCTCTTTATTCCCAGGTTTTGTCTTTTTTGTGCTGGTGCTTCCATTTACTGTTAAGCACAGTTTGAGGCTGGTTCCCTCATGCTCATACATGTTTCATTTCATGCAGCCTCAGCTTTGGACACAGATCTGTGTGTCCTAAGGCTCACCACAAGAGGGTAAATGATAATAGGCAAAGATCACCTGGGAACACAGGATTGGGAGCTGGAAGGGACTTATTGAACAATGAGTCTAAGCCATCATTTTATGAAACAGGAAACTGATGTCTAGAAAAGTGCAGTGATTTGACCAAGGTCTCTTAGGTCAATTTTCTCCCTCAAACTCTCCCCATCCTCTTCACGGGCTTCAAGCACTGGCCATTAACCCTCATTTCTGGCCAAAGAGGTGAAGGGAGCTTCAGAATGTACTTGTTGTAGCCTCTGAATCAGCTTCTCCGCAGCTTTAGGACTGTGTGAAAGCCACTGATCTACCTTTGAAAACTAGGGCATATCAAGAAATAAACCAACATCAACGGGCAAAGCTCCCCTCCCAAACAACAACAACAACAAGAAGAAGAAGAAGAACAACAACAACAACAATAACAAACTTTTTTCTCATTTCTTTTTCTGAAAGTGACCATTTGCTTTAGCTATTTGAGACTGGAGGAGATGTATAAGCAAATTTTATTTTTATTACTATGATTTTTTTCTGTTGTGAAACTTTTGGCTAATTCTCATCAACTGGCAGAAACTAAGAGATCAATCAAGCAATCATTCAACCAGGGTTCATTAACTGCCAACTATATACCAGACATTGTATGAGGCACAATGGAGCAGCCAGGTGGCACAGGCCTTGAATCAGGAAGATCTGAGTTCAAATGACTTTAGACACTTATTAGACTGGGCCAGTCACTTAATTATTTGCCTCAGTTTCCTCATCTGTAAAATAAGCTGGAGAAAGAAATGGCAAACCACTCTGGTATCTCTGCCATGAAAATCCCAAATGGGGTCATGAAGAGTCAGGCACAACTGAAAAAAGAAGTGACTGACTGGATTGTTTGAGGCACCGGGGATACAAAGACAGAGATGAAATAATCCCTATCCTTAAGGAGATGCTTTCCAGGTTGCTTAGAGTTGTTGTTACATTATGTATTAAAAACTGAGAACAAATTTGAATGGAAATTTATTAATACATTTGCAATTCTTTTTTTAAACTAGCTATGACAAATATGATAATTGTAGACCAAATAAAGATTTAAATAATACATTTTTGCTATTAAACTAACAATCACTTTAGATGCGTAAAGGGTGTTAAAAATGTATTACCTGTATTAAAATTCATCCTATCCTATTTCAATTTCCTGAGTAAATGGAGGGTGGGGGGAAGAATCCTATTAAAATTACTGGAAATTATATATTTTTAGTTTCATTTGGCCCAGTGGAACCACCGCGAAACTGTGATTTCATTGACCACATGATAAGTGGTGGGGTGGGGGGCAGAGAGGCAGTTTTTGATTCTCAGAACAACAAATGACCTTTGCAGTTTGACTGCAACAGTCAATAGCAGAATGACTAAGCTCACCTCTGATTCTTGATCCTGTGAGAGAAAGCTCGGGCAGGCAGGCAGGGACACGGATCTGTGTGTCCTAAACATCGCCACAAGAGGGCAAATGGTGAAAGGCAGAGATTGTCTAAGATCCCAGAATTGAGAACTGGAAGGGAATTACTGACCATTGAGTAGCCCATCATTTTACAGAATAGGAAACTGATGTCTAGAAAAGTGAAGTGACTTCACCAAGGTCACCTGGATAATAAATAGCAGAACTTAGACTCAACCCTTGGTCTTCTGCATCCATGATGCTATCATCCATTTAAATTAACAGGCCTTAGGAATGCAAATGTAGGTGATTTGTTCAAAATAATATCTCATGAAACTGATGACTGAAGATTGAAGCACATTTTTTTCACTTTATTTTTCTTGCTTTTTTGCAACATGGCCAATATGGAAATATGTTTTGCATGATTTCACATGTGTAATGGGTATCACATTGCTTGCCTTCTCAGTGGTTGGGGGAAGGGCTAGACTAGGAAAGGAGAGAATTTGGAACTCAAAATAAAAAACATGAATATCAAAAAAAGAATAAAATAATAGCTCATATTTCTCCAATCTTCTGTGGTTTACAAAAAAGCTGGTGTTACTACAGTGAGTTAGGTAGGACAAATATTATGTCTACTATACAAATGGGACAGCTAGATGGCACAGTGGATAGAATGCTGGACCTGATTTCAAATCTGGCCTTAGACACTTACCAGCTATGTGATCCTGGGCAAGTCACTTAGCCCTATTTGCCTCAGTTTCCTCATCTGTAAAATGAGGTGGAGAAGGAAATGGCAAACCACTCCAGTATCTTTGCCAAGTAAACCCCAAATGGGGTCATGAAGAGCTGGACATGACTGAACAACAATAAAAACTAATAAAGAAACTGATATATGGGCATACCTCAACTTCTGGGTTCAGGTGCATTCTGCAGGCTTATAAGTTAG